CTCTCTAATAAAAGGAAAGAAAGAAAACAGATTTCTGTGTTCACAGTTTTTCATCTGTAGGCAGGTTCCAGTGCTGTCCACACCAGGCCATTCCCTGTCCTGTTGGATTCTAGGGTGTTCCAGTAATAACAGCCTCCTGACCCAGATAAGATCTGGACAATTTAGTTAAAAAAATAGAGATGAAGAACAAATTCTCATCTTTATTGCCTGTAAAGCTGGTGTTGAAGAACATGGCTTCTGTCAAGAAGCAAATGGGTTTCCTGTTCTGAACCCCATTAGGTGGAACTCCACCCTGTTGCAGAGTATGCTGGGCTGGGGTGGGCCTGCTCCAGTGCCCTCCGGCCCCCTGTGCAGGGTCAGAGCAGAGGGGAGTGGGGAGGGGAGTCGGGCCAGGAAGAACCCCGTTAGCTTTGCCCCCCCCATCACCAACCCAGTGACTGGAGAATGGAGGGGGAGACTGGGGTGAATGTTGGTAACCAGGGTTTCCTCCACATTGAAGGAGGCCTCAAGAGTGAGGGTGCTCCCTGACTCACCCACCACCCCTCCCCGAAAGAAGTCTCCTCTGGGTGGTCCCGAGAGGCAGTCAGGTTCCCCTGGCATCACTGGAAGCATCTCCTCTCCTTTTCCCTTGTACCTAGTGCTCATTCTTCATCACTTTTCTCCTCTCCCTCCACCCGGGTCACCCAGTAGAATGAGATCATGAAGACATGCTGATCACCAGTCCTTTCTCATCTCCTTATATAGCATAATTCAGCTTTTTATCCTAGAAGAGGTAGGATCTAAAATAGAGATCTGGAAACTACAGCCTGACTCAACCCACTTTTGTAAGTAAAATTTCATTGAAGCACAGCTCCACTCCACAGTCCATATATCTGTGGCCATTCCCAGCTATAATGGTAGACTCAAGAAGTTTTGACAGAGAAGCCTAAAATGTTTCCTATCTAGCCTCACTAGTCTGAAATACACATGAAATTTCACTTCAGTCCTTTAAGTTCTGAAAGAGCTTCATTAATATGTATGAAGCCTGTCTCGTTTAAATTGCCAGGCTCCTCTGTCTATGGAATTATCCAGACAAGAATACTGGGGTGGGTAGCCAATCCCTTCTCTGGGGGAATCTTCCTGACTCAGGGATCGAACCTGGGTCTCTTGTATTGTAGGTCTGCGCCATCAGGGACGCCCACACAGTAAAGTCATGGGGGAGGGAAATGGGGATGAGAATCTATTGTGGCGTTATAAATAAGACTATGAAATATTAGTAATATGAATTTTTTTCTTTTTTAAAAATTGAAGTATAGTTGCCTTACAGTATTGTGCCAATCTCTGCCGTACAGAAAAGTGACTCAGTTATATACATATACACATTCTGTTTCAATATTCTTTTCCATTATGGTTTATCCCAGGAGATTGGATATAGTTCCCTGTGCTATACAGTAGGACCTTGGTGTTTATCCATTCTACATGTAATAGTTTGAGTCTGTTTTTGTTGTCTTTTTCCTTCCTTTTCAGTAGTTGAGTTGCAAATGAAAGTTTTGAATCTATGGGTGCATGCTCAGTCAGTCAGTCATGTCTGACTCTCTGCGATCCTATGAACCCACTAGGCTCCTTTCTCTGTCCATGGTGTTTTCCAGGCAAGAGTACTGGAGTGGGTTGCTGTTTCCTTTTCCAGGGGAGCTTCCTGATCCAGGGACCAAACTGCATCTCCTACATTGGCACATAGATTCTTTACCACTGAGCCACCTGGGAAGCCCTATTCAATCTATACAGCACATAAATTAGAACTCACTCTTATCTGAAAACTGAAGCATCATTCCACATTCATCACATGCATCTTTATTTTTATTGTTGAAGTGTCTTAACTTTCATCTGGGTTATAACAAGTTAGAGAAACTAATTGAATTTTTACCGTGATAAAATAATTCTTCAGTGAGAGGAAAATAGTTCTTTTTCACTGTGACCTGTTCTTTGCTGTTTGCTGTTTGTATAGTTTTCATTTTGCGCCTTTGTTTATAGAGAGTAACCTTGCAGGTCGCATTTTTCCTGGTAACCAGTTATTGTCTTGAGTCATCACCAAATACGGCATTTCAGTAACCGGTGACTGTACAGTTCCTTCCAGGCAGATGTGTTGTGTGGTGTCAGGAACACTGGCTGACAGCCTTTCTGGCTATTCGAGCAGTAGGGAGGTGGTGAGAAAGCCTGGGGTGTCCCTGCTGGCCCGGTGGTTAAGAATCCGCCTGCCAGTGCAGGGGATGTGGGTTCAGTCCCTGACTCCGGGAACTAAGGCTCCACATACCCCAGGGCAGCCGAGCCCACGCGCCAACTACCGAGCCTGCACTCTGCAAGAGGAGCCACTGCAATGAGAGGCCACGCACCCCAGCCGGGGGGTAGCCCCTGCCCGCCACAGCTCCAGAGAGCCCCCCCACACAGCCATGAAGACCCAGCAGCCACACGTAGATACAGACACGAAGGAAAAGTGTGGCACACGCACTTACCTTGAAATCAGAAATTGGCAAAGAAAGCACAGACTTGAATGATTTCACCCAAATACAGTGTTTGTGTGGCTAGCGGATGGCCCTGTAATCATTTTAAAGGTTAAAAAAAACACTTTCTTGAGTAAATGACCTTTCATGTTGGATGACACATACTTTCTTCTCAACCTGAGGCATGTGAGTTATTAGACACACCTGACTCCGTGTGCAGAGGCGTGCATTACCCTGGCTGCCTGTGCTGCTGGGGTCTCAGTGGTCTCATTCTCTCTACCCAAGCAAACTAAACAACTCGTGGGTTGGTTTTGCCATCCATGAACTGGGGGTTGATTCGCTTATCCCTAACTTTCAAAGAGAAGGTGGATTTCTGAGAATGAGACTCTTCCCGATGTGTAAATAAATGGGCAGTTTAGATAATAACTTTTAAAAAATCAATCAAAATTGTTCTACATTCTAGTAATAAAAGTAAGCTGACATAATTTTTCATGTAATGACTATTAACTCTATTATCCTATAGATGTAATTTAAGTTCCTGATGCTTTTGTTTCAGCATGATTTTTTAAAAATCATTGACTTTTAAAAATCTAACAAGTTATGCCCCAATTACCAACCACTAGTAACAATATATCAGAATGGTATTTAATCAATTTGCTTTTTAAGTTTCACAGATATGTTTTAGAGGAAAAAGACTTAATTGTATGTTCAAATAAAGCTTGTATTACATACTAGTTAATATTGTCACGGGCTTCCCAGGTGGCTTAGTAGTAAAGAATCTGCCTATCAGTGAAGGAGATGTGGGTTTGATCCCTGAGTCAGGAGAATTCCCTGGAGGAGGAAATGGAAACCCACTCTAGTATTCACGGACAGAGGAGCCTGGTGGGCTATAGTCCATGGGGTTGCAGAGTTGGACCCGACTGTGTGACTCAGCACACATGGCCAGTATTATCACAGTTTTATAGACTAGAAACTATAGACAGAAGTTCACTAATTTACTCAGCTAGTATTTATGAAACGCCTACCATATGCTGGGTTCTGACCAACAGTATGAATGCCTTACTTAGCTGAGAACACAGTTTGTAGGCTGGACTATGCATGACGTGCTTGGATTTTAAACATTTAGTGATTTACTTTATCTTATGTTGATAAACTACCAACTTAATTCTTAATTGTTTTAGAATTTAACAGAATTTTATTAAATTCTTTAACATTTTACAGGGCCCTTTCTTGATTATAGCCATTGGTAAACTTCTGTGTTTCACTGTGGAAAAGTTAAGCCCAGCCCAGACTTCCACACTTTATTACCTCCAGTAAAGACTGTGATCTTCCCTATGTTAACAAATTCCTAACCTTTAGTGTCAGCCAAGTCATCGTGTGTGGATTTTGTAATCTTCCCTCTTGTGGACATTCCTGGGCTGGCCTAACTTTATGGGAAGAGCAGATACTAGATTAACTTCTCATTATGCTTTTAACAAGTAGACTCATTGTTTCTTTACCTACCATGTGTTAATCACAGATGACTGGTATTAGTCAATAAATTAACATAGACTATTAATACATGAAATTATGCTTGTACTGACCTAACTATATTTCTGTCTGTCCTATGTCCTTAGAGGCAGCCTAGTCACCAGCTTGGTTTAGTAATATAACCCTCCCAGGCACCACCTTTAGGATTAGGCCATTAACTGAATGCTAATTTATGAATTTGTTCATTGTTCTTTCCTGTTGTAAAAATGGTTTGACATATGGTTAATTATTACATACAAACATACAGTCTGAAGTAGATCTACAGAGACACAAATAAACGCTTAAAAAGAGTAAAACTTCTTAAAAGACACATTTAGAAGACGGTTATTCATGTTAGAAAGATGTCTAATGTTTGAAAGTAATTTGCTTTATCTCTTTAAGTTATAAGCTTTCCTAGTTTACTTGAAATATGACTTGATTTACAAAATATAAATTCACTTGATTTTTCCAGAGTAAAGCAGGACCCATTTCTGGTTTAGATTGTATGTCTCTGTATTTATGATTTTTATGACCTATATAAAATTACTATTCTTAAATATTAACTTGCTTACTCCACAGTGTGAACATACAATAACAGAAGATATTTCATTTTCTTTGGGACATCAAACAAAATTTTATTTAAATCTCATTTTCTGGGTTATTTGAAAAAGTTTCATTCTGTATTTAATTATAATAAAAATGTCCCATATTCTTCTATTAAAATTAGTCCTTCAGTGGAAATCCTATGTACCTATTTACCTATAAATTCTTTATTTTAAATTTCTTTTTAATTGGAGGATAATTGCTTTACAATATTGTGTTGGTTCCTGCTGTACAGTAAGATGAATCCACCACAGTAAGTAAGATGATGCCCACCACAGTGCAAGAGGGTTCCCTTCTCTGCACACCCTCTCCAGCGCTCATTGTTTAATAACGGAAGGTATTTCAGAGAAGTAGTAGACAGTTTGGCCGCAATGACATGATAAAGTTTTGGGTTTTTTCTTTGTCTAATAGGAGATACAGCACATGAACAAAGAGTGGCAGCAAGAGGCAAAACTTCCGATGTAGAAGACGACCAGCCTTTGGAGGTGAGTGAAGCTCAGTGAGTCCTTTTGGGGTAAATCCAAGCAAGTCACTGTGGTAATCTAGTCCTCTGAGGGTAAACAGTCACTTCCTTTCTGGCCATGCTGACAGGTGCCGAAGTACCAGGAGGACAGCTGAGCTGCCAGAAATCAAGGTAGGGCGGGCAGGAGTAGCTTCCCAAGTACTGAGCTCTTCCTAGTGCCGGTAATGAAAGCTTCCTGTTGGAAACAGAGGCATAGAGCACTTGAATTATTTTTCTTGAGTGAGTCTTTTCTAATACGTTTGAATAAATAGGTAATATATGAACCTATAGAGAAAGGTTTGAAAATAACCTCTTCAGAACTGTCTTACATTAGTATTTCCACCACCACAGTACACGCCTTGACATTGTTCAGTAAAAAGACTAGAGTTTTTATTCTTTTTCTACGTGAGAAAATTATTTGCTCCTTGTGAGTACTTGAGAGTGTAGTTCACTTCCTTTCATACTCTGTGTGGAAATATGCTGACCTTATTGAATCACTGGAAGAATCATTTTTAAGACTGGGAGAATGGTAACTATTGGAGTGGAAGAGATATCCATGGATTTTGAAACTTTCTGCATGGTGACACACCTCTACTTTTGTAGAAAGTGAAGGTATTGCATACAACTGGAGTGAGGTCAGGGTACCTGGCCTGCTTGATTCATCACTGTATCCACAAAGCCTAGCACAGAAAAGGAATTCAAAAGTATTTGTTAAATGAATGAACACAATCATGAGTTATAAGTAGAGAGTAATATTCATCTTAAGAAGAGAGGTTTTGAGGTTTAGATTTTCCACAGTGAGTAAATATTTTATAATCAAGAGTGAAACTTAAAAGCAGTTACTTGGGAAGCAAAATTGATGTAGAAAAAGAAAAGAGCCATATTTCCAATAAAACTGTGCATTTTTTTTTCTATTAATGCATGCAACTGGTATTCATTAAGCAGTGACTGTGTTCAATGCACTGTGCAAGGGGCTGAGTATACAGTGGTGGAAAAAAAAAAGATACAAGGACAAAGAAAAATCTGCACTATATGTGTCAAAGCATCTTGATCTCTTTATTTACTCAGATATTTAGTGAATACTGAACATAAGTAACATCTTTTTGTTTTTTTAATCGGGCGTTAATCGAGTTAGTTTCTGTTATACAAGTGAAGTGAATCAGTTTTATGTATATATATGTCCCCTCCCTTTCAGATCTCCCTTCCACCTTAGGTAGTAGCATCTTTGATAGGAAATAAAGGTTGATGTATTTGAGCTTTAGGAAAGAACCACCAAAATGGTGTAGAAATCATCCATTGATTACTTCAGTTTTACTGCTTAGGTATGTATGTGATTCAGTGGAAATGTCTGCCTAACTCAATTATTTTTAAAAGTCAGTTTATTGATCGGAAGAATTCCAAGATTAATTTTGAAGGAAAGAAGCTTTTGAGACTAAATCCTCTGAGACTTGAAACTAGCTCATTATTGGAGCTACTTCACTTATAAGTTTCTAAACAGTTCAGCCTTTACTTGAGCAAAGAACTATTGATCCCTGGCCCTACCACCCCAAGGCTTCTCTGTGCTCTTTTTCACCATCAGTGTTAAATTAGCATCACCCTCTGAAGAGTGGTTTAGAATCACACCCCTCAGGTACCCCTGGCTCCTGTTCCCTCACAGTCTACATGCATTTCCACCAGTAAGTCCTATCTCCTCCGCTTCCCCACACATCCAGACTCTAACCACTTCTCAATGCAGGCACTGCTAGAATCCTAAGCCACCAATTTCACCTGGACTCTCTGCCTCCATTCTTCCCCCTTAAGTCTGTTCTCTTCACAGCAGGCAGAAATTGCATCAGATCACGTCACTCCTTGACTTCAAGCCCACTGACTACCCACTGTGTGAACTCAGTCGCTCAGTTGTGTCCAACTCTTTGCGACCCCATGGACTGTAGCCCACAGGCTCCTCTGTCCATGGGATTCTCCAGGCAAGGATACTGGAGTGGGTTGCCATGCCCTCCTCCAGAGGATTTTCCCAACCCAGAGATCAAACCCACATCTCTTGTGTCTCCTGAATTGGCAGGTGGATTCTTTACCACTGGCGCCACCGGGGAAGCCCTAGGAGTTACCATAAATCTGTTAACTTAGATTATTTTTGACATTCAATACATTAGCAGGATGAAGTATTATGATTTCAGTTGGGTTTTTGAAAGATATACATCTGATTAAAATGTAACTATTGTACCTAGCAGAAAGATTTTCATTAATTTCCTTTTTAATGGCTATACAACAAATGTTGAAATATTATTTATAAGGAAAACATGTTTGATCAGTTTGTATGGGTTCCCTAGAGCTTAAAAATAACACTCTTAGTTACCAAAATATACGTTGCTTTTCTAAGAACCCTTTGCAGAAGGTAGATTTTAGTATCCCCAAATGAATTTTTCTGTGAATTCAAATAAGCACGTAGATCGACTACTATTTTCAAGGAATTTGGTTGGACATGGGGCAAAGAGGATATAAAGGTATGTAAGACTTCATGAGTCTTACTTACATTCTCAATCTATTCATGAACATCAGACAACTCCACAAGTCATTATAATAAAAGGTGGAATAAACACATTTCTTAAACTCCTTAACTACAAATTAAACTGAGATTTCAGTGGAGGAAGAAATATCATTAGTGAGAATCAAGAAAGGCTTCATGTATTAGGTGAGCTTTGAACTATGAAAAAAAATTTTTTTTTTACAATTTATGCAATTTTATATATTAATATAAATTCCTGTGAAATGAAATTCCTCATTAACATTTTAGACGTACAGGAGCAAATCATGGTATGAAACTACTTTCCACACATGGATCTCAGTGACAGATAATAAAGTATTTTAAAAAAAAACGAATGGAACTTGGCCTATGCTATACTGTAGTTTTAATGGCAGTTATAATATTTTGTTAAGTAGTCTGTTATTTTCCCTTACACTTTATAGCCCAAGTATACTTCAAAAACTGTGTTGTCTCTCCAAGTACAGCTTTCCCACAGACATCATGGAAATTCTAGATGAAGTACTTTTGAAAAAAGGAGATCTGGTTTGGGCATCAAATAAGCTACATTTTACAAAGTTGGAGTAGGACTTATTTTAATGCACAAAAGATTCTATGAGAAGCAGCATGTTTATTTGTATTAAATAATTAGTGGGATTTTTTTACTTCATGAAACTGAAAATAATGTAGCATTCATTCCAGGAAATCATATTTTCTCAAGTATGTTTGTCTCTTCTTTACTCCCCCTCTGTAAATATTTTAGGTTTCTCTTAATTATAACTTTATTTACTGCTGTTTGTACTTTAGCTGTCCCTGAATATAATCCTAAGGTATCATTCCCTAAAGTAGGATAACTTAAGGAGACAATGAACTATCTCGTTATCAAATGTGGTTTCTCCCAGGCTGTGCTTTAGTCTGAGTCTTAATTCCCGTTAGTAACTCTTTACAGAATTCACATGTTTTCCGTGCGTAGCATATAAGCTCCTGTAAACCCGTATTTGAGCTTATTAAAATCAAGTCATGAGACTGTACTACTTGAGGAAAAAGTGATAATTTGGAACTAATTATCCACTTGGAAGTTATCTGCCTCCTTCTGTTCCTTTTTTTTTGTAGTTGCCTCGCTGGATAAATTTTGGTAGTGAGTTGTAATGACATAGCAACAACTTACTGTTTTCTGGTACTGTAGGAGCCTGGTTATTTACAGCTCAGGGGGATAAACCCAGAGATTAATGGGGGAACTGGTTTTGAATTTTTGTCATGATTCATCTCTGCAAGGAATTAACAATATAAGTAAGTAATTAGTCATTCTTTTCTAATCTTCAGTTGTAGAAAGTGTTTTATATTGTGAAAACTAGAACAATATTAGTTACTGATTTACTACTGATTATTTGTTGGTCTGTAGGTATATTCCAAGAGCTGTGAATATATATCAGTTTTTTAAATAGAATTGCATCAATTCTGGTGACTATTAATTTAAGTCAGTTTAGAAGATACTTTTAGATTGCGTTTGTTGAACTTTGTTTGTCCTACAAAAATTATTTTTTAATTTGCCTTTCTTATCCTCTTTTATTGAAGTACCTTTGACATGCAATATTATGTTAGTTTCATGTGTGCAACATAGTGCTTCAACATTTGTTTGCATTGCAAAATGATCACCTCAATAAGCCTAGTTACCATCTGTCGCTGCAAAGTTCATACAGTATTGCCGACTGTACCCCCCCCCCCATGCTGTACATTACACCCTCATGGCTTACAGCTGGAAGTCTGTATTTCTGCAACTGAAATTTGCATTTCATTTTGGTCTCCAAGACTGAGGAATATGTTTATTTATTTAGTTCACTAACCTAAAGATAACAAGATACAAAAACAAGCCAATAAAAAAGTCCCCACAAAACCACAGCTCCATTTGTGTGTTTGTCTTGAGTGACAACTAATTCACATATGCATATGGAGACACGTATAAAATAATAACTAACAGATGGTATAGCTGCAAAGTAGGATTTATAAAGATTATTATCAGCTGGTGGTACTGAGATACTACTGTGGTTATACTGACAGAAGACACAAAAATTGCTTATAATAATAAACTGTGACACTAATATCCCCCCAACTTCTGTTAGCCAAAGTAGCTTACCGCATATTTCATATAAATTTTTTAATGAAGACATAAAATAATCCTACAGCCAGTTTGTACTAGGGAATTTAATAGACAGCAGTTGTAAAAACAGTAAGATTAGTAACAACAACAACAAAACATTTGCTAAAATCATTAACTGCATAATAGTAGAATCCCTGGAGAGTAAGGTAAGGATTTGGGGGCCTCTGTTTATTCATGTCATTTGAAGTACACATCTCAGTCTAGTGCAGTGTGCACAGTTTTTGTATTTTCTTATTTGCATTTTTATAGATTGTTGAGTTACATGTGAAATTCATAGTTTAGTAATTTAGGGAACAAAAATTGATCT